TACGTCCTCCTAAAGTCACAGGGTCGTCCCATGCTCTATCCACCTTATTTTGCAACGCGGAAGTAAATACGATGACGTACTTCCTTATAATGTGCTAAACTTCCGTTTCGCTTGCCAGTAGGTAAGGAGCTTAAGGAGCGATGTGGTGGGAGCACACACAGAACACTATTATAAATATTTACCACACCCCCGGTGTATAACACAGTCGGAGGATGAAATGAAGTGGCCTGCCATAACTTATGAGGACATTTTTAATTATTTAATTTTGTCGCATGGAGTAGACGGGTCTTCGATGAGGAATTATAAAAGCACTGAGGCATATCAGTACCTGCACAGCGGGAAAGTCGGCAGAGTACATGAAACAGAAAGTGAATTCGTGTTTTTAAAAGCAGACGTGAATCCCAGAACTGTTATGTGATTGCATTGAGGATTTAGGTAACTGGTAAATGACTAATGTCTCTTTTTTCTCTTTCATCTGTGAAAGCACTTGTTGATAGTTTTAAAGTAGTAATGACATTTTTTTCTGATAAACTGATTACTATACCGTGTAGAATTAGGGCTGATTAATTGCATCCAAAATAAAAGTTATAAATAATAAAAATATATGTGTGTACTTTAAAAAAATATATATATATATATTTTTTTTTTTGAATGCAATTAATCGTCTGACTATACTATTCAGAATGTTTTCCATTTATGCGTGTACTTTTTAATAGTACACGCATAAGTATATACGCAAAAGTATATACTTTTTAATATATATCTATTCAGAATGTTTTACATTTGTTCCGAGATTTTTGAAAAAGTGACAAATTGACGATTATTTACCTAGCATTGCTAAACTGTATCATTTTCAAGTGGGGGGAAAAAAAAATCAAAATAAACTGCATTTTGACATTTTAATTGTGTGTTTGTGTGTGTGCATATATAAGGAGAAAGAAGTAATATAAGATCTTGAAAATATTTGTGTAAAAACTGTATATTTAACGGTCACACTGAATAATTCCAAACAACTACACAATGTATCCAAAATTACTACACCATTCTAAATTTCATATAAAATGCCATGGAATGTAGACTCTCATGTGCTCCTCCGTTGTATCAATCCAGTCGGAGATAATTCAGCTTACTACACTCTGGGACACATCAAAGCGTTCAGCAAGATATCCTTGAAGTAATTCTACTTCAGCTTCATCATGGTCATCAGAATTTGATCCATTATGTGCATCTTAAAATTGGAAGTGTAGAATTGCTGGAGATATTTAACATGTTCTTTAAAGACGCTAAGGGTGAAGCCAGTGTACAATAAAGAGCTAGTGTCATTCTTGAGAATGGAAAGGGCTAAGGGATCTTTACTGTGGAACTGTGTTGCCTTGTGTAACATTATTTTATCCCCTGAGGCATAAGTGTGGTCTGTCAATGCCTGGACCTCCCACTGAGTGCAGGCATCACTGAACTGAAGGGGCAGCTGCAATGGCTCCGTTTGTGCGGTCTCATGGTCACCTTGCTCATCATTTGCAAAACAACACTGAAGTCAGTCAGATGCTCAGGAGAAACTGATAAATTCTCCACCCCCTATTTACAAAATACACAAAATAATGATCTTTAAAATAGCATCATATGAACCCTTTAAAAGCTTTTTTGTATTATGTAGTGTACCCTGCTAACACACAACGTATCAGTTACGTAATGTACTGGTACTTTTTGGCAATTTCATGACTTACCAATTGACAACGTAACTACGACGTCGCATGCCCGTAATTTTATAACCATCAAATTACCAATTCACAACGTCGTCAGTACGTCCTCCTAATGTCATAGGGACGTCCCATACTCTATCCACCTTATTTTGCAACGCGGAAGTAAATACGATGACGTACTTCCTTATAATGTGCTAAACTTCCGTTTCGCTTGCCAGTAGGTAAGGAGCTTAAGGAGCGATGTGGTGGGAGCACACACAGAACACTATTATAAATATTTACCACACCCCCGGTGTATAACACAGTCGGAGGATGAAATGAAGTGGCCTGCCATAACTTATGAGGACATTTTTAATTATTTAATTTTGTCGCATGGAGTAGACGGGTCTTCGATGAGGAATTATAAAAGCACTGAGGCATATCAGTACCTGCACAGCGGGAAAGTCGGCAGTATTTTTATTCAATACAATCACAGTACCTGGCTTTAAGGGATAGTTCACCCAAAAATTAACATTTTCATCATTTACTCAACCTCGAGTTGTTCTAAACCTATATAAATTTCTTTGTTCTACTGAACACAAAGAAGGATATTTGGAATAATATTAATATACAAACTGTTCTTGGGTCGCATTCACTTCCATAGTATTATTTCTTACTACTATGGAAGTGAATGGGACCCAAGATTTGCTTGGTTACAAACCTTTGAAAAATCTTCCTTTGTTTTTAGCAGCAAAAAGAAATTAACACAGGTTTGGAAGAACTCGAGAGTAAGTAAATGACAGAATTTTAATTTTAGCTATCCCTCTATGCGCTTTTTTGTAACAGTTTTCTACTGTTATCAACAACTTCAGCTTAGCACTAAATATTATTCATGCCCAATAGGAGTGTCATTGATAAAGAAAGTGTTTAAACAATGTCTTTTGTTAGAGCACGTAACTTAACAAGAAGCTGTAACATACCTGTTTGTGGATATATCCTAACGAGACGTCACCTCGGAGTCTTCACTGGAGCATCCTTTTTCGGGGAATGGATGATTTTCCGTGGGTCTGCCATCAACGAAGTGGAAAGAGCAAACGTACGGAAATTTCGGTGGTTTCTTTAAGTTAAAGGCTTTTAAACAAAGACGACAAGCTTCTCCCTTCGGAGGGGCATGCAAATCATAGGGTGCCCCACATCCACATTCAGCTCTGGTACGTGGATTATGGTCAAAACAAATGTCTTGCAGGTATTTTTTACGCTTGAACCAGCTATTATGACACCCCCTAACTGCACAAAGTACTCCAGTCTTTTCATATTAAAAGTAAACTAGCCTGTAAAATCTACACAGTGAACGCAAAACTATGGAATCACAATACAACTACTATTAGCGGAAGTGCTTTACCGGAAATCTGACACATTATAGCTCGAAAACGGCAGTGCCCGCGCTTACGTGAAAAATAACGTGGATAAAGGCCAATAGGAAAAAAATAGGGAGGAGCAAGGGGTTGGGGTTTTGACTCATCCTGCCACCCAGAGCTCATTAGCGAAATGGAGGAAGGAGTAGAAGAGCGTCCTGAATGTAAGGTTAGTGATTTGAAACGGCCAATAGTTTAAATTGCTATAATAATAAGAGTTACTGGTATTATAGTTATTATATTTTTATGTTATAAATGCTTATTTTCGTAATGTAACGTTAGCAGAAACAGCTAACGTAGTTTAGCACGTCAGTACCTCTGTTCAACGTTATAGAAACCTATTTACCACGTTTAAACTGATAAAAGGTATGGTGAGATAAAAGATCTCACGATGTGGTATCTTTATTTTTCTTATTAACTTATAAACCAAACTAATCGGTTTAATGTGACATCACTGGTCGACCGCGCCGCCATATTTGTAACGAGCATTGTAACGAGTAATGATACATTAAAATAATGAATATTTTGAGATAGAGAAACATAGAATTTCAGACTTTCTATTATGTTTTTTTTTTAAAATATTTAAAGCTCTGAAACACTTTCACAAACGTTCACAAAAGAAATGTATTAAAGGAGGGCTTACATTTTTTCCCATTTGCATGTATGAATATGATATTTACCCAAGACGTCTTTGAAAATCGTGCAGTGTGAACTCGGCATAAGCTGCTGGAGAGGACGGCATCTGACATTTCTCACCGTTTCTCGTCAGTTATGCCAAAAAAGTTCAACAACTGTGTCAGATTGGTTAAGAAACATTACCCAGAGCCTACTTTAAGTGCTTTAGTTAATTTTATACCTCTGTGATTATGGTATCTTTCCTTATTGTATCTGAAATGTCTGCTAGCAAATGTTACACTAGCATAGCATATCTGTTTATATTTATGCTGAGCATGGAACGCCTTGTAGCTTCTAAGCCCTGATTAAAATGATAATTTATTTCCATGCATGCTGAGTGGTCAGCCACACCTACTGGCTGCATCCGAAAGCTGAATGTAACTTAAAATTATTTTAATTTTATATGAAAATATGTACAACACACCCAAAGTTAAATTTAATTTCAATAAGTGTTTTCTATATATTTTTAGTTTGATAAATAGGCCTACACATTTTTATGTATATTTAGAAATATGACAACAATCACATATCCCACACAATGTTTAAGTGTTTGGGAATATTGACGTATAATTTAAATACATAATCGCATAATATCAGATATAGAACTTTTTTTAGAAGAGAACACATCATCACTGTTAAACCGATGCGCATTGCGTCGTCGTTTTCCATCGTGCCTTTGGTCAGCGCAGTCGAAGAAGAGCTAGTCTCAAGTATAACCGTTTATCTGAGAGCTTTGATGATAAATAAACGAATATAATTACTACAATACTAATTTTTTTGCTAGAAATTACATAAAAAGTGGAAAAAGTTGGTCAAAACATACATTGACACAAACTGACCACCAACCTTATCTCGCAAACTTGTCTTTTTTATTTTTTTATTTATTAGCTCAGTTGTCACGGAATCGAACGCACTAGATAGTGGGATGACGCATAAATCTAGAATGCCTTAAAAAGCCGATCAGCTTAAAAGGTATCTCTGTAGACAGATTGTGAAACGATCATTGGAATCAGACGTGCCTTTCTTTCTTTCTGCCTTCATACATTCGTATGCAGCATTTTTCCAGCTTTCGGACGCAGCCATTGACTGCCTGTATATCTAAGTTACACATTATAAACAGCCCAGTCCAAACCTTCTCAATGTAAATCGTCGGTGTCTTCTGTCATCTCGTCTTGTCGGGTTTTCCACAATAACTGGGGTGCTGTATTCCGCTGAACATTAGCTGCGTCCGTAATCAGCCTCTAGTTAACACTGACTCTGCTCTGTAGAGTAAATGTTCTAAATAGAGGAAGAAAATAAAATGGATGAGCAAATTTGGACGTTGATGTAATTACAGTGCGCCAGTTGGAGCTGACGCTTCTTCTTCGTCTTCTTCTGTGGATTTACTGAGGGGGGGTTGCAATCCAACTGGTGCATACCGCCATCTACTGCTGTAGATGTTGTACTGTACTTTGACGTAGATGGATGCAGGATAATTTACTATAATGTATTATCTATTATGTTTAAAATAACATTTGATAACATGTTCTAGAGTTTCCATTTCCTGACATATATGGGGGAAGATGGCCCCCTTAAAAACAACGTGCATTTAAATTGTTACATATTTAGATGTTTAATATGTGTGGGATGATGTATCAGACATTGTGTTATTATATGAAATAGAAACATTTGCCAATTTAGCTGTTATATACAAAAATGTTAAATTATTCATCTTTGGCCTCTTTACCCTAATAATTGCAATGGCAGACAAAGCAGAATCCCAGTAAAAGGGATTTATCTGAAAGGCAAAATTATTCCATGACTTGTAGATATCCATATTTATTTGCCCTTTTTTAATGAGAGTAAGACTGAAATTATCTTGTTTGGTTCAAATGATCACAGCATTCATGATGTTGATCTCGATACTCTGTTACCTTACAGTAACACCTGTGTTTGGAATCTGGTGGTTTTGCTTGATAACAGTCTTACATTTGATAAGCAGATATGTGCTGTGGTTAGGTCTTGTTTCTATCATCTTCATCTTTTAGCAAAGGTTAAGCCCTTTTTGTCTGGTAAGAATTTCGAAACTGTCATGCATGCAAAATGGTTTGGCCCGATAAAGGCCTAGATCCGGCAGGCCGGAAGAAATAACTCGGCCCCGCTCCGGTTTCCAGACTCGGCCTGGACATGGGTTGAATGATGCCCCAGAATCGGCCCAAATACACTGGCCCGAGTCCGGCTGCCGAAACTACCGGCATTGGGCCACAATCACGTCGACAAGAATTGTAACACTTAGCTGGTACTGGCCCGAGTCTGGGTACTAAAACTGAGTCAACACCACCAGCATTGGGCCACAACTAATATATATATACCCCATGAATTACCCCATAACATCCATATGTGTTCCTTTTCCCCAAGTATAAAAATGACACCATGAAAATATGAGTGATATTAGAATTTTTGAAGAAAAAATTTTTTTCCAGGAGCTTCCTCAAGTAGCGTACTCTAAAAGAGGGACAGACTGACAGAAAGAGAGACAAAAAGGGGAACAGACAATGACACGTATGGTTATTCAGACAAAAGAAAAAAAAAAACATCAATCGTAATACTATAGACCAGTGGTGTCAAACTCAATTCCTGGAGGGCCCCAGTTCTGCACAGTTTAGCTCCAACCAGCTCCAACTCACACCTGCTTGAAAGTTTCTAGTAATCCTAAAGACCTTGATTAGCTGGATCAGGTGTGTTTGATTATGGTTGGTGAGATAAACTCTAGCACTATGTCAGCGAACTCACAATTATAGCTTCATTATAAATAAACATTACTTTGATATTATATGTGTAGAACGGTTTATTAAATTATATTATATGTTAGATTATCAAATGTTTACTCACCAGGGTAGCAAGTTCTTCTGGTCTTCTGTCAATTAGCAGCACAAAAAGCCCGTCAGGTTTTGTCATTAGATGTCAAAGCTATAGTGCGCATGTCTTGAAACTCATATAGCACAAATAATGTTAAGTTCCCTTAACCACTTTATAAGCTTGTTTCATTATATGAATTAAATCATTCATTTCCAAATGTAGTTAAAGAAAAAAGAGAACTTCTGTGAACACTAATGCTGTGTTAGAGCTTCTGGGCAAATGAAGTGAAAGCAAGCCCACATATGCTGCAAAGCTTCTCTAAGTGAGAGAAAGTTGCTTTATGCATTGTTAAGAGCAAAGCTTGCCAAAATGAAAGATGTTTCTGACTGAATGAAGTGTTATTTGCAATGCAGAAAGACTGTTTTTAATGTTTTAGAAGTTCTATCCCAGATAGCAAAAATAATCTGGGCCAGATCTGGCCCAGACCCATCGGAAGTTCTGGTCCAGATCCGCACAACGGACTCAGGCCGGTGTCTTTTTGCACAACGGGCCAATACCGGCACGGATCCGTTTTTCCGAATCTGGACCAGAACTGGGTCAGCTCTGGACCAGATGTGAATTCCTTTATGGTGATTTGGGCCAAATGTGGGACGGATCTGGGCCAGCTCATTTTGTGTGTGTATATATATATATATATATATATATGCCTATACACACACACACA